ATATAAAACTTCAGTAACCTCAGAGAAATTAAAGATTATATTAGCAACCACAAAACTGAATAGGATGCCATTTTAAAATAAAAAGAACCAGAGCAAGCACAGAGAAGCAAAAACTATGTTTGGAAAGAAAACTGGAGGGCTTGAAGATAAAGTCAATACCTTCTCACTGAAAGCAAAAAGTCAAGGAGATAGAAAATGTAAGAGAAAAAGGAGGCAATTTAAGAGCCCAGTATCCAACTTGTAAGTGTTGAAGAAAGAACAAACAAATCAGAAGAAATAATTTGAGAAAACTTTTTAGAACTGAAGTGTGACAGAAATCTTCACATTAAAAAGGCTTACTTAATGCTAATTAGGCTGAATGAAAGGTCTACAAATAAAGCATAATTGCAATATTTCAGAACATTGTGAAGAAAGATAAAATTGTAAATGCTTACAAAGAACAAAAATAAAAAATTGCAATAGTCTTTTTGTGAGCAAAGTTGGATGCTAAAAGTCAATTGATTTAAAATTCCAGGGGGAAGCCAGGTGCACTGGTTTGTACCTGTAATCCCAGCTACTTGGAAGGATGAGAAGGCAGGATTGCTTGAGCCCAAGAGTTCAAGGCTGTGGTGAACTGTGATCTCACACCTGCACTCCAGCCTGGGTGACAGAGTGAGACCCTGTCCCCAAAACTAGTAATAAAAAATAAAATTCCAAGGGAAAAATGATTTTCAACTTTATGTTCTATGCCCAGCCAAACTACTAAGTATGAAAGTAATATAAAGATAACCTTAATACATTCAAAGATTCAGACAATTTTATTCTCACACATCCTTTCTTAGGCAGTTGCTTGAAACTGATCACCAGTAAAACAAGAAAGAAAAAGCCCAAGAATCCATTTGTAGTAGATTCAGCCCAGGAACTTAATGAAAGAAAGTTCAAAGATGACAGTTATAGGGCAGGTCTAGATTGCATTAGGAGGCAGATATAGGGCTCAAGGAAGGAGGCATCTGTGAGGGGGGAATAAATGGATGAGGCATTCCCATGTATTTGCTTTTACCCTTGAACTATTGAGTGAACTTAAACAAACAAGGTAGATATTGCTAGACTAATAGGAAAGCTGCAAAACTTGAGGGGAAGCAATATGCTGCTCAAGAAAGAAAATCATTCCACTTGATTCTGCATTAAAAATATTTTTACCTTCTCTATATCTCACATCAGTCTATTCTCTGTAACTCTACCTCCACCACCACTCTGGAGTTACCATCATTTCTGCTTAGACTTCTACTGGTTTTCTTGCATCCTTTCTGTCTTATCTCAAATCTATTTTCCATATTACACTCTACATAGTGATGTTTTTTCAAAATGCAAATCTGATTATGCCCCCTCTTTGGTTAACACACTTCAGTGGCTTCCCATAGCTCTTCGAATCTAAATCATTAGCATCCCCTAGAAGGTTCTATATGGTTACATGGTCAGCCAGTCCCTAAGCAGCAATGCAGTGGTAGCTGCTATGTAGTCTTGCCTCACTTTTGTAGATTTGGCTGGTAAGGACACCCTGATGGATTTAAACAGTTTTATTACTTACACAGATGGCAAAGCAAGATCAACATGGTATTAGCTGCTTATATCCCCAATTCCACAGGATGATACCAAACTAGAGGGGTCAGATGACAGACAACATGAGTGGTGAGTTGCTTTGTTTTTGAGAAGTGAACTCTAGGCTGCAGCTAAGCAGTTTTATCCGAAAGGGACAAAGTGGAAAGTTCCATGCCTTAGTGGAATCAGGGAGGCAGATGAGAAACTGCCTCATGGCAAGTCTTCTGCAAGATCGGGGGTTTTCTGCAAGGTATGTAGAAAATGTGAAATGGCCTTTGGTAGCTCCTCACAAGACTGCCTATCTTGCCATTTTTAAGGGTGATCCCAGGGCATTCTGCCAACAGTCGAGTCTTACCTACATGGCCTATATGGAGACATGCAATTGCCATGGTGCCATGGTGGAACTGTTCCCCTGCTAACATAGGCTGCCTTTACTACCACTATAGTCTCATCTTATGTACTTTCTCATATTTGCTAGCATCAGTCATACTGACCTTTCAGTTTCTCCAATGTGCCATGCTTTTCCTTGTCATAGAGCTTTAGCATATGCTGTGCCCTCTGCCTGAACCCCACTTTCTCCTCACTCTTTGCCTTCTTAACTTCCCTTCTTTCTTTGGTACTCAGCCCAAGGTTCCTGACCAGAACAGCTCCACCTCTTATCGCATAGCATGATGTACCTCTCCTTCACAGCATTCAGAACAATTTTAGTTTTAAATTTATTTGTATAATCTTGAATTGATGTAATAGTAGAGATAGTGGAGATAATATGCATTAATATATTATCACTTAATTGTCAAATGTTTTTACATACTTAATTACATTTTATTTTTACATCTCAGTGAGATAAACAGAACAGATATTATTTTAAATCTTTTTTCCCAAATAAGAGCCTATATTAGAGCTCATTTTAAGTTCTATTTTAGTGTTCCCTGTACTTCACCACTATGTTTTTTCTGTAAATACATTAAATATAATGCAGCATACAGTAAGCAGTAAGCACAGAGAAAATGCCACAGTGGCCCAAAGGAGAGGGAAATCAGATCAGGCGATCACCATAGACCTCCAACACAGAGGTCCCATTTGAGTCAGACTTGCAGGTTGGTAGGCAGCTGTTGGGCAAGGAAGTGAGGGTCTTCTAAGACAAGAGATAATATCAAAGCTACAGTTATAGAAAGGCATGGGACTATTTGAAGAATGGCAGTTGAATGTGTTTTGATGGATGTAGGGTCCCAGGAAGGGAAGCTGGAATTGGATCGTGCAGGGCCTTGAAGATGGAATTGATTTTGTTTGCAGTAGGAAGTAACTTACGTTTCTAAGTGGGCAAATTGATCTGATCAGCATTGAACTTTAAAAGCATTAAATAGGCAACAATGTGTAGAATAAATTGTAGCATGGAGGACTGGATTCAAGAAACCAGTTCTAATCTAAGTGAGAGGTAACGGGATCATGACTTGGGACAAAACACCTGAAGCAGTAAGTCATGACACACCTTACAAAGTTTAATGTCAAAGCCTTTCAGTCAGTGCCTAAGAGGAACACACTTGTGTTTGAGGAACGTTAGGTCTATTTAATGTACTGCAGCAAAGGAGAGATCCATAGCAACAGAACTGTGGGTCATCTCAGGGAGCCGGGAGGATTTTCTTCTTATAGGATTTCAGCTTGTGCTGGGTGACTCTTAGGAAGGTTTAGGGAAAGCAGAGGTCAGTTCTAGATTGGATGCCCTCAGGAAGTGAGGTATTGGGTATTTTGGTACATTTTATTTTGGAAGTGAGAGGATTTAAAAAATAGTAGTCATCTGTGATAGCCAGAAGAGGGGGATGTTTCATTATTTTTTATGGTTCTTGAGAATTCTTTTCTCTAGTTTTAGAAATACTTACATGGTAGTCTTATCTCTGTCTTCTTCTACTGTGGTCACAGAGTGGCCTTATCTGGATATTTATATTCTCACAATTGTTTGCTCAATTGGGAATACTGTGGTTTAGCTGTCAGCTTCCAGTTGCCAGGTGTTTTCTTTTTACTTCATCAGTACCCAATACATTGATCTGTTCAGCCCTAAAGACCAGCCATTGCCTCATATGTTGAGCAGCCTCATCTATTTACCCTAGGCTGCAGTATGTATATTATCACTGTCTAGATGTGCCATGACTTGGAAAAGCTTGATTGAACAATGGTGCTGAAAATGAAGAGTAAAGGACCAAGAAATGTTGTAAAGGTTTTCAAGCTCTCCACTATCTCCAACATTTCTGGGTCACTTAAAATCTATGCTCCAGCAAAAATAAGCTGATTTCAGCTCTTACAATCTGTGATTTGCTGCCTTTGGATATTATGCCCTCCATCTGGAATGTCTTCCTTCGGTCTCATTCTCATGTTCATATTTCTGTCTGTCCTTCAAGGACCAGTTCAAACATCTCTCTCCTTCCCTGTGCTACTAGTGAGAGCTAAGATCAAGAAAAACTGATTTAAAATATAATAAATGAAGAATAAACTATATATTTGGATATGTTAATTCTAAGAGGAGTCAAGATGGAAATAATCTCTCTTTTCTGTGAATTCATATATCAAATTTATTAGATCCCTAAAGCATTTATTTCCAATATTTATTAAGTATGTATTACATCCTGTTTACTAACTTCTGTCAGCAGTACCATCAAAATGCCATGATGTTTGCTTCTTTCCAGGTTTTTCAGGCTTAAGTACAAAGCAGCAGAAGTGTTTTTAAACTCCACCCTCATTCTTACCTCATTTAGTATAAAAGTTGCTGATATGTGGCCAGATTTGACCCTATTAACATTATACATATATAATGTTTTATATATATATACACACATACATACATAGAAAATATATACCATGCAGGTTGAGAGTATTAAACTATATATATATGTCTGTGTGTGTCTATACATATAGTCTATATATATATAGTGTCTGTGTATATATACACGCGCGCGTTCACACACACACACACACACACACACACACACACACCAGGGAGGTTATACACACCAGGGAGGTCGAGAGAAGCTTGTAGGTGGCTCAGTGTTTCTTGTTGGGACTAATAGTGGGGCAGGGACTAACTTATCGAAAATATGTTTTAAAAATTACCAGGCATGGTGGTAATTGCCTGTAGTCCCAGTTACTTGGAAGGCTGAAACAGCAGGATCTCTTGAGCCGAGGAGATTGAGACCGTAGTACTAATTATCATGCCTGTGAATAGCCACGGCACTCCAGCCTAGGCAACATAGCAAGACCCCATCTCTTTATTTAAAAAAAAAATTACGTGGATTACAAAACATTTGAGGAAGTATAAAAATCAATATTTTTGTATTGTCTGAAAGGAAGGAAACTGGATAAAAATTAATTATATTGAATTAACAATAATAAATGCACTGACAAATAGGTTTGTTTTTCCTATATTAATTTAGGAATGACTGCCAGCAAAAAACCTGGGAACCGAGAATGCAATCATCCTTGTAAAAGTAAACATACATGTGGACATAACTGCTGTGAGTTCCTTAAAACAAGTTTATTTCAAGTGTTCAGAATTGAAAGGTCTTTGGTGGATAGTAATGACATCCTAATTATCTATGTATGATATTTATATTATGCAACTTAATAACTCAAATAATTTTCTCTCTTTTGTGGGCAACATAAAAAGGTAAATACTATATTCGAAAATTTAAAGAAATTTGACTTTATAAGAATAAAATCTGAAGTTTAACCTAAAGAATCTGAAGCTTCTTTTCATAGGTAAAATTGGAATTGCACAGAAGTCAGAAATTAAAGAGTCAACAATTTCTTCATATTTATCTGATTTAAGAAACAGGAACGCTGTTTCATCTGTTCCTACAGTTAAACGTCTGAAGGTTAGTTTTAATAACATTTTCCCTTTGTTCTGTAATTTAATGTATATAAATATTCTTTGTTCTGTCTATCAATTAGGTAGGTATCCACAGTGTACTTTAGAATTACTTGTGGACTTGACTAAGAATATTACCATTATTCATAATCCATCTTCTCTTTCTTCCTTCCTTTTTTTTTCTAAATCTTTCTTCTTTCCTTTCATCTTCACTAAGCACCAAGAATATGCCAAAGTGCTAAGATATAGTGATGAATAAGACAGTCTTATTCCTAATCATAGAATTTGTAGTTGAGTGAGAAATACAAATAAGTAAACATGCTTTTTTAATACAGTGTGATGAGTGATTCTATGACAGAAGTACAACACACTTAAGTTTAGATAGAAAATGTACTCAATCCACATTTGATGGACTAAGAAAGGATTCCTAATAGATGTGATTGAGACCTGAAGGATAGGCCAAGGATGGAGGGGCAGGCACCAGAATGATAGTAGGAAGAGATAGCTAAATATTCCAGGCATAGAGATTATACAAAGGTCCAGAGGTAATAAAGAAAGAGAGGGAGAGATCTTTAAATAAACTCTTTATCAGTAATACAGTATGTCTAGAGTTCAATTACAAGTAAAGGAGTAGAGAGAGATGAGGCTGAAGAGGCAAGTAGGAGCTAGATCATGCAGACCTTTTTGCTATTTTAAGGAATTAGACTTTATCATGAAAGTACTGAGAAGCCAATGAAAGGTTTTAACCAGTGACATGATCAAAATTGTATTTTATAAAGGTCACTCTGACTGCAATGTAGAAAAGGGATTAGAGGATGATAGAATAGGAACAAAGGGACTCATTAGGTGGTTTTTATAATAATCTAAGCAAAATAATGGCCTAGTTTAGGGTAGTGGCAATAGCAATGGAGAGAAGTGACTAGGTTAAATTATTTTTCAGAGGTAGAATCGCTACCTTGCTACTTCATTGGTTATAAGAGACAAAGTAGAAGGAGCAGTCAAAAATGATGCCCAGCTTTCCGACATTAGCAACTGGGAGAAAAGTAGGGCCTCGTTTGGGTAGATATTCTGAAGGGAAAGCAAGTTTGCTGGAATAGGGAACAGGATAAGTTCAACTTGGGAAACACTGAATTTAGAGGGCCTGCAAGATATCTAGATAAAGATGTCCTACAGACAGTTGGATATAACTGTTTGAAAATCAGGAGAGAGAGCTGAGCTAGAAGTAGAGACTTGAGAGTCATTCACATGTAGATGACAATTGAAACCACAGGAATAAATGAGAACTTTGATTGAGAAAGTGTAGTGTGGGGGGGCGGAGCAAGATGGCTGAATAGGAACAGCTCCAGTCTCCCATTCCCAGCGCGAGCGACACAGAAGACCGGTGATTTTTCATTTTCAACTGAGGTACTGGGTTCATCTCACTAGGGAGTGCCGGACAATCAGTGCTGGTCAGCTGCTGTAGCCCGACCAGCAAGAGCAGAAGCAGGGCGAGGCATCGCCTCACCTGGGAAGTGCAAGGGGGAAGGGAATCCCTTTACCTAGCCAGGGGAACTGAGACACACAACACCTGGAAAATTGGGTAACTCCCACCCAAATACTGCCCTTTCAGCAAACAGGCACACCAGGAGATTATATCCCACACCTGGCTGGGAGGGTCCCACGACCACGGAGCCTCCCTCATTGCTAGCACAGCAGTCTGCGATCTAACCTCAAGGCAGCAGCGAGGCTGGGGGAGGGGTGCACGCCATTGCTGAGGCTTAAGTAGGTAAATAAAGCCTATGGGAAGCTCGAATTGGGTGGAGCTCACAGCAGCTCAAGGAAACCTGCCTGTCTCTGTGGACTCCACCTCTGGGGACAGGGCACAGTAAACAACAACAAAAGCAGCAGAAACCTCTGCAGATGCAAACGACTCTGTCTGACAGCTTTGAAGAGAGCAGTGGATCTCCCAACACGGAGGTTGAGATCTGAGAAGGGACAGACTGCCTGCCTGGTCAGTGGGTCCCTGACCCCTGAGTAGCCTAACTGGCAGACATCCCCCACTAGGGGCAGTCTGACACCCCACACCTCACAGGGTGGAGTACACTCCTGAGAGGAAGCTTCCAAAGCAAGAATCAGACAGGTACACTCGCTGTTCAGCAATATTCTATCTTCTGCAGCCTCCGCTGCTGATACCCAGGCAAACAGGGTCTGGAGTGGACCTCAAACAATCTCCAACAGACCTACAGCTGAGGGTCCTGACTGTTAGAAGGAAAACTATCAAACAGGAAGGACACCTACACCAAAACCCCATCAGTTCGTCACCATCATCAAAGACCAGAGGCAGATAAAACCACAAAGATGGGGAAAAAGAGGGCAGAAAACCTGGAAATTCAAAAAATAAGAGTGCATCTCCCCCGGCAAAGGAGCGCAGCTCATCGCCAGGAACGGATCAAAGCTGGACGGAGAATGACTTTGACGAGATGAGAGAAGAAGGCTTCAGTCCATCAAACTTCTCAGAGCTAAAGGAGGAATTACGTACCAAGCGCAAAGAAACTAAAAATCTTGAAAAAAAGTGGAAGAATTGATACCAAGAGTAATTAATGCAGAGAAGGTCATAAACGAAATGAAAGAGATGAAAACCATGACACGAGAAATACGTGACAAATGCACAAGCTTCAGTAACCGACTTGATCAACTGGAAGAAAGAGTATCAGCGATTGAGGATCAAATGAATGAAATGAAGCGAGAAGAGAAACCAAAAGAAAAAAGAAGAAAAAGAAATGAACAAAGCCTGCAAGAAGTATGGAATTATGTAAAAAGACCAAATCTATGTCTGATTGGGGTGCCTGAAAGTGAGGGGGAAAATGGAACCAAGTTGGAAAACACTCTGCAGGATATCATCCAGGAGAACTTCCCCAACCTAGTAGAGCAGGCCAACATTCAAATCCAGGAAATACAGAGAACACCACAAAGATACTCCTCGAGAAGAGCAACTCCAAGACACATAATTGCCAGATTCACCAAAGTTGAAATGAAGGAAAAAAATCTTAAGGGCAGCCAGAGAGAAAGGTCGGGTTACCCACAAAGGGAAGCCCATCAGACTAACAGCAGATCTCTCGGCAGTAACTCTCCAAGCCAGAAGAGAGTGGGGGCCAATATTCAACATTCCTAAAGAAAAGAATTTTAAACCCAGAATTTCATATCCAGCCAAACTAAGTTTCGTAAGTGAAGGAGAAATAAAATCCTTTACAGATAAGCAAATGCTTAGAGATTTTGTCACCACTAGGCCTGCCTTACAAGAGACCCTGAAGGAAGCACTAAACATGGAAAGGAACAACTGGTACCAGCCATTGCAAAAATATGCCAAAATGTAAAGACCATCGAGGCTAGGAAGAAACTGCATCAACTAACGAGCAAAATAACCAGTTAATATCATAATGGCAGGATCAAGTTCACACATAACAATATTAACCTTAAATGTAAATGGACTAAATGCTCCAATTAAAAGACACAGACTGGCAAACTGGATAAAGAGTCAAGACCCATCAGTCTGCTGTATTCAGGAGACCCATCTCACATGCAGAGACATACATAGGCTCAAAGTAAAGGGATGGAGAAAGATCTACCAGGCAAATGGAGAACAGAAAAAAGCAGGGGTTGCAATCCTAGTCTCTGATAAAACAGACTTTAAACCATCAAAGATCAAAAGAGACAAAGAAGGCCATTACATAATGGTAAAGGGATCAATTCAACAGGAAGAGCTAACTATCCTAAATATATATATGCACCCAATACAGGAGCACCCAGATTCATCAAGCAAGTCCTTAGAGACTTACAAAGAGACTTAGACTCCCATACAATAATAATGGGAGACTTCAACACTTCACTGTCAACATTAGACAGATCAACGAGACAGAAAGTTAACAAGGATATCCAGGAATTGAACTCATCTCTGCAGCAAGCAGACCTAATAGACATCTATAGAAGTCTCCACCCCAAATCAACAGAGTATACATTCTTCTCAGCACCACATCGCACTTACTCCAAAATTGACCACATAATTGGAAGTAAAGCACTCCTCAGCAAATGTACAAGAACAGAAATTATAACAAACTGTCTCTCAGACCACAGTGTAATCAAACTAGAACTCAGGACTAAGAAACTCAATCAAAACCGCTCAACTACATGGAAAGTGAACAACCTGCTCCTGAATGACTACTGGGTACATAACGAAATGAAGGCAGAAATAAAGATGTTCTTTGAAACCAATGAGAACAAAGATACAACATACCAGAATCTCTGGGATACATTTAAAGCAGTGTGTAGAGGGAAATTTATAGCACTTAATGCCCACAAGAGAAAGCAGGAAAGATCTAAAATGGACACTCTAACATCACAATTAAAAGAACTAGAGAAGCAAGAGCAAACACATTAGAAAGCTAGCAGAAGGCAAGAAATAACTAAGATCAGAGCGGAACTGAAGGAGATAGAGACACGAAAAACCTTCCAAAAAATCAATGAATCCAGGAGTTGGTTTTTTGAAAAGATCAACAAAATTGACAGACCGCTACCCAGACTAATAAAGAAGAAAAGAGAGAAGAATCAAATAGACGCAATAAAAAATAATAAAGGGGTATCACCACCGACCCCACAGAAAAACAAACTACCATCAGAGAATACTATAAACACCTCTACGCAAATAAACTGGAAAATCTAGAAGAAAGGGATAATTTCCTGGACACTTACACTCTTCCAACACTAAACCAGGAAGAAGTTGAATCCCTGAATAGACCAATAGCAGGCTCTGAAATTGAGGCAATAATTAATAGCCTACCAACCAAAAAAAGTCCAGGACCAGATGGATTCACAGCTGAATTCTACCAGAGGTACAAGGAGGAGCTGGTACCATTCCTTCTGAAACTATTCCAATCAATAGAAAAAGAGGGAATCCCCCCTAACTCATTTTATGAGGCCAACATCATCCTGATACCAAAGCCTGGCAGAGACACAACAAAAAAAGAGAATTTTAGACCAATATCCCTGATGAACATCAATGCAAAAATCCTCAATAAAATACTGGCAAACCGGATTCAGCAGCACATCAAAAAGCTTATCCACCATGATCAAGTGGGCTTCATCCTTGGGATGCAACGCTGGTTCAACATTCGCAAATCAATAAACATAATCCAGCATATAAACAGAACCAAAGACAAGAACCACATGATTATCTCAATAGATGCAGAAAAGGCCTTTGACAAAATTCAACAGCCCTTCATGCTATAAACTCTCAATAAATTCGGTATTGATGGAACGTACCTCAAAATAATAAGAGCTATTTATGACAGACCCACAGCCAATATCATCCTGAATGGACAAAAACTGGAAAAATTCCCTTTGAAAACTGGCACAAGACAGGGATGCCCTCTCTCACCACTCCTATTCAACATACTGTTGGAAGTTCTGGCTAGGGCAATCAGGTAAGAGAAAGAAATCAAGGATATTCAGTTAGGAAAAGAAGAAGTCAAATTGTCCCTCTTTGCAGATGACATGATTGTGTATTTAGAAAACCCCATTGTCTCAGCCCAAAATCTCCTTAAGCTGATAAGCAACTTCAGCAAAGTCTCAGGATACAAAATTAATGTGCAAAAATCACAAGCATTCTTATACACCAGTAACAGACAAACAGAGAGCCAAATCATGAATGAACTTCCATTCACAATAGCTTCAAAGAGATTAAAATACCTAGGAATCCAACTCACAAGGGATGTAAAGGACCTCTTCAAGGAGAACTACAAACCACTGCTCAGTGAAATAAAAGAGGACACAAAGAAATGGAAGAACATACCATGCTCATGGATAGGAAGAATCAATATCGTGAAAATGGCCATACTTCCCAAGGTTATTTATAGATTCAATGCCATCCCCATCAAGCTACCAATGACTTTCTTCACAGAATTGGAAAAAACTGCTTTAAAGTTCATATGGAACCAAAAAAGAGCCCGCATCTCCAAGACAATCCTAAGTCAAAAGAACAAAGCTGGAGGCATCACGCTACCTGACTTCAAACTATACTACAAGGCTACAGTAACCAAAACAGCATGGTACTGGTACCAAAATAGAGATATAGACCAATGGAACAGAACAGAGTCCTCAGAAATAATACCACACATCTACAGCCATCTGATCTTTGACAAACCTGAGAGAAACAAGAAATGGGGAAAGGATTCCCTATTTAATAAATGGTGCTGGGAAAATTGGCTAGCCATAAGTAGAAAGCTGAAACTGGATCCTTTCCTTACTCCTTATACGAAAATTAATTCAAGATGGATTAGAGACTGAAATGTTAGACCTAATACCATAAAAACCCTAGAGGAAAACCTAGGTAGTAGCATTCAGGACATAGGCATGGGCAAAGACTTCATGTCTAAAACACCAAAAGCAACGGCAGCAAAAGCCAAAATTGACAAATGGGATCTCATTAAACTAAAGAGCTTCTGCACAGCAAAAGAAACTACCATCTGTAGGCAACCTACAGAATGGGAGAAATTTTGCAATCTACTCATCTGACAAAGGGCTAATATCCAGAACCTACAAAGAACTCAAACAAATTTACAAGAAAAAAACAAACAACCCCATCAAAAAGTGGGCAAAGGATATGAACAGACATTTCTCAAAAGAAGACATTCATACAGCCAACAGACACATGAAAAAATGCTCATCATCACTGGCCATCAGAGAAATGCAAATCAAAACCACAATGAGATACCATCTCACACCAGTTAGAATGGCGATCATTAAAAAGTCAGGAAACAACAGGTGCTGGAGAGGATGTGGAGAAATAGGAACACTTTTACACTGTTGGTGGGATTGTAAACTAGTTCAACCATTATGGAAAACAGTATGGCAATTCCTCAAGGATCTAGAACTAGATGTTCCGTATGACCCAGCCATCCCATTACTGGGTATATACCCAAAGGATTATAAATCATGCTGCTATAAAGACACATGCACACGTATGTTTATTGCGGCACTATTCACAATAGCAAAGACTTGGAATCAACCCAAATGTCCATCAGTGACAGACTGGATTAAGAAAATGTGGCACATATACACCATGGAATACTATGCAGCCATAAAAAAGGATGAGTTCATGTCCTTTGTAGGGACATGGATGCAGCTGGAAACCATCATTCTTAGCAAATTATTGCAAGAACAGAAAACCAAACACCGCATGTTCTCACTCATAGATGGGAAATGAACAATGAGATCACTTGGACTCGGGAAGGGGAACATCACACACCGGGGCCTATCATGGGGAGTGGGGAGGGGGGAGGGATTGCATTGGGAGTTATACCTGATGTAAATGACGAGTTGATGGGTGCTGACGAGTTGATGGGTGTAGCACACCAACATGGCAGAAGTATACATATGTAACAAACCTGCACGTTATGCACATGTACCCTAGAACTTAAAGTATAATAATAATAAAAAAATAAATAAATAAATAAAGAGAAAGTGTAGTGTAACAAGAGATCTAGTAAAGAACCATGAAGAATGCCAACATTTAGGCCAGACGTGGTGGCTTACGCCTGTAATCCCAGCACTTTGGGAGGCCGAGGCTGGTGGATCACAAGGTCAGGAGTTTTAGACCAGCCTGGCCAACATAGTGAAACCCCGTCTCTACTAAAAATACAAAAATTAGCCAGGTGTGGTGGTGGATGACTATAATCCCAGCTACTTGAGAGGCTGAGGCAGCGAATTGCCTCAACGGGAGGCAGAGGTTGCAGTGAGCTGAGATTACACCACTGCACTCCAGCCTGGGCAAAAGAACAAAGCTGCATCTCAAAAAAAAAAACAAAAATTGCCAACATTTAAGAAGGGCTTGAGTGAAATATTCGAGTCAAGAACTAACCTGAGTTTCTCCTAATTCATTGATTTGGGGACTTTATGTACCACCAGGAATATTGTTGTTTGGCTCATGTGTTACAAGTTATTGATGTGAAACTGATACTTGAACTTATACTGATACTTGAACTTATATTTGTTTCATTAATAGATACAGATGAGTAAATCTCAAGGTGTGGACCTTAAAGAGTTTGGTTTTACTCCAAAACCTTCCCTTCCTAGTATATCGAGGTACACATATAATGTTAGTATCTAAGGTAAAATATTTATCATAAACTCTGTTCCTGCAGGTAACCATTTATTCAGGGAAAGATAGTCACTGGCTACCATCAAATCACAGTTATCGTTTAGTTCCATAATGAAGCAATAACATCATAATGGTTTCATTATCTTTGATACCCCAAATTTATTTAGAACTCTACAGTTATGAAATAACACTTATTAAATCATCTCTTCCCTAGGAAACTACCTCTCCTATGTCATTCCCTTAGGTTCTCTCTTTATAGGGAATATAAACTAAGTGACAAGAGTATACTTTAAAAGTGGAAATGATGTTGGCATACAAAGTCTAACCTTTCCATTTAGAAGCTCAGTCCATGCTAATAATATCTCAGATTTATAATACAAAAATTATACATTCGTGCATTATATTTTCTGACTTAAACAACAACATGGCCATAAAATGAGGTATTTTTTTGTCCTATTGTATAGAAAAACTGAAGTTCATATTCCTAGTTAGCAAGCAGAAGGCCTCAGATGGTAACTCAGTGTTCTTTTCCTATATCATGATGCCTACAGGACAATCATATATGTAATTTCCCTTCCAGATAAGGGCATTCTATATGCAGGAATGACATTCAATATATTTAACAACTAGTACAGAACAGGAACTGACTCATTGGAATAGATACCAGCAGTACTTCTAGAGATCGTGGCTTTTGTTATCTAACTAAGGGCATGCAAAGAAGACTAAGCATTGGTCACTTCCATTAAACACCTGTTTATTTGCTACCCAGGCTGGGTCTAGTTTTTCATAGAAGTGTTAAATGAATAAATCATTATTTTTATTTATATGAATAAATAGTTTTCAGGCTTAGATTAATTTTCATATTTTCTTTAACTTTTTATGGTTTTATCTTTATAAAGGTCAGAATATTTAAACATATCTGAATTTCCTATAATGGAGCAGTGGGATCAGCCTGAAATCTATGGAAAAGTTAGACAAGAACCATCTGAATATCAAGACAAAGGTAAATTACCATTGATACTTACTTGAGAGAGTAAATGGCTTATTACTACTTTGAATTGACAAGTAGTGTTATTGAAACACCAGCATCTGAAATTATTATAATTATTAACTTGGCAACATTTTTCTCTTAGATTACGGAATCATTTTCAAATTATTGGGTCTGTTATTCAGATGGTCTTACTCTATTTTTTTAAAAAAAATCTCTTTCCTACATAATGCTATTTTAATTTAAAGATACTATGAGGAAAATCTGAGCCAATAAGGCATCCTTGAGTATATAGAGTATTAACATACTGAATGATTACCTTCATATATTGTTAGAATTATTTAAAATAATTTTATGTTTATAAAACTAGTCCAGTTTTACAAAATATCAATGTGACCTTGGGCAAGTTATTTAATCTCTTTGGGCTTTAGTCTTAACTTTAAGATGAAGGTATTGAACTGGGTGACCTTTAATATCTCTCCAATTCTTAAACCTATGATTCTTACAATTCTATGTTAGTATGAGAATATAACGTAGGTTGTGGGATATAGCTAGTTTGTAATCTAGATTTGCTTTTTTATCTGTCTGTCATTTAATTAATGAGATAATACATATAAATTCAACACTGCCTGGTTCATCATTACTCTGGTTCCTGCAATTAATAGAGCATAATTTCCCTGAATAATGCTGTTAATAGCAGTCTGTTAAAACATGAGACAGTCCTGTCCATCTTCAAGTAGCTGTATGTAGAAATGGTAAGCTTGGGGTTTTCTGAAAATCATTTCATGTGTTTGGCATTGGCTTCTGTTGACATTCTTGTCTTCATGCTATCATTTTTTTTTCTTCATGTTGTAACTTTTTTTCCTCTAGTCATAATTTAAGATTTTACAGAAGCAAGGACTGGAGTGTTCACTACCTCTTATGATACCATGGCACCTATTAGGCCCAATAATGAGATCAAGAAAAGTTCCTAATCTCACCTGGAGAATCAGAGCATTTATCCAACTTATTCAAAGCCTGGATATCATTACAAAGTGGATAGGAAGTATAAAATTGTCAAGCTTCTTATATTTATCTTTGTTCAACATCTAGCCCTCTAACTTACTCCTTCCTTATCCTACTACTCTACTACCTGTCCTTCTGCACACAAGAGCTTATCTATCCTTCTCTCTGCTTACTTTTGTGTTCTATTTACATGGTTTTCCTCCTTTTATTTCCCACTAACTATTCCAAATCCAATTTATAGTATGATATTAAAGCCTCATCTAGATACCTTAACACCCAATAATAACTGTATCCCTGTTTTATCGAGTGGGCCACTTTTTTTTTTTAAAAGGAGCTGTACGGTGTAGTAGTTAAGTTCACAAGATCTGAAAACAATCTGTCCAAGTCCTAGCTCTGACATTTAGTGTAACCTTTCATAGTCTACTTAACCACTTTGTCTAAATTCTTCATCTGGTTATATTTTAGGGGTTTTGGGATTAAATGAGATAATGCATGTAAAGCTGTTATAGTTTCTGGTACTGTTAGTAACAGTTAATTGAGTATGTTTATTATATTTTTCACATATTAGTCTTTGGTGGCAAAACATACTTTAAATGTATTCAAATACTGCTTTTGAGAATGTTTTCGAAAAGCACGGCAGTTTTTATCTTCTGTATTCCAATTTCAAAAAGGGAAGAAGAAAAAATGTCAAAAATTATATAAGAAAGCATGTTGAATCATAAGACTTAAATTGGAAGGGACCTTGTGCAGTTTCTCATTTTATAGTGAAAGAAGCCAAGACTCCAAGAGATTAAATGACTTGCCCCAAAATTTCATATCTAATTAATGGCAAGGCCAGAAATAGATTGCATATCTTTTGATTCCCAGCCCAATGCCATTTCTATAAAGTGATACTGACTTTTAGTTATCAGTGGATAATTGAAAATTGAACCAATAGTAGTATATGAACTCTTTCAGCTTTTCGCCCCACCCCTCAACTATATATTTCCCTGTCTCTGCATCCATCTGTAACCATCTATTTGTCTTAAAAGAAAAATTATCTTTTCTTCCACTCGAGGCATATCTCTCCTCCTGTAATCTTAATTCTATCTAATCCTGCTTTCCCTGGGACTTTAGAAGATCATTATCCGTCTCCTCTTTCCCATATTTTCATTGTTTCCTCTCCACTGCGTCTTTCCCTTTAGCATATAAATATGCTGAAGTCTCTTCCTTCTTCAGCTTCATGTCCTCATCTAGCTGGTCATGACTTTTTTTATTATAAATGATAACAATTCTACTCAAAATGACTTAAGCACAAGAAAAGGAACCAATTGTCTCAAGTAAACTGAAAAGTATCTGGCCTAATTCTGGCTAAATCAAGGCACTCATGCCTCTGGCTTTCTCTCAATCTTTTAGCTATGCCTGTTGCTACTTGGCTTTACTTTTTAAATAGGGTTTCTCACATGGCAGGTAGCCCCTAACTTTCATCTTAGCAGTTTAGCAGCCTCAGTGGAAAAAGGTAGACTTCCCTGTTAGGTTTGGCAGACCAGAACTCATTGTAAATGGCCTCATTTGAGTCATGTGTTTATCACTTGATCAATCCCAGTAACCTGAGGATTGGGTCATTGTATACCTGTGGCCCCAGAGAAGGCAGGGCATCATGAAAAATGGCCTTACTAGGATCCAGTGGAATTGTAGAAGTAGTTTCTTCAAAGGAAAGGGAGGGTACTCCCACTAAAAGAAGGGAAAGCATACCAGGCAGACAAAAACCAGAATTCTAGAGTCCCCATACCCTCTATCTCATCACAACAAAAATTAATTTAAAGAGCAATTGACACTCAGTATGCTCATCACTTTGTTATACCCTAGTTCCTCTTTATTCAATAAAATTTGGGTTTTCTCTGTGTAACTCCTTTGAAACTGTTTTTGTTCAGGCCATTTAGTGACTTTCTAAGTTCTGAATTCAGTGAACTATTTTCAACTGTTACTCTCTTTGACCTCTGTAGTAGTTGATACTTCTGGTCTTTCTTTTGGAAATCTCTCTTTGGTTTCAATTAAACCATTATATTGGTCTCCTGTTACCTCTTAGGCTGCATGGGCTTTTCTTCCTGTTGATGTTGCAAAAGCATTCTTTTTTCTTTTTATTCTTCTCACTTCAAAAACTTTTCCTATACAATATCACCCAAGCCTGTGTCTTTAATCACTATGTTTTGATAATTTCTAAGTCTGTATCTCCCATCTAGATCTTTCTTTCTAACTCCAAATTCGTCTATATAATCACCTTCCTGGACATATCCACCTAACAGTTAACATATCAGACATGTCAGCATCTGAACTCTGTCTTCTTTGTACCTCACTCTGCACCTTCTCTTTTTTCCTTAGCTCGGTGAATGAACTCTTTTCTTTGTTAAGCTGCTAAAGGCAGAAAAAGTGTCCTTCTAAATGGCTCACCCCATGTGTAAATAATCACCAAATCTTAATTATTTTGCCTCCTGCATATCTCTTATATTTGTTATTTCCTCTCTATCCTTTCTGCTGATACTCTAGCTTAAGCATTCATTGTCTCTCATTTACTGCAATAACATACTTTTCTCTCTGCTTTCAGTTTCATTATCCTTCAATCCATAATATTCCAGGTGATCTAACAGACATATCTGGTTGTGTAAACCTTCTGCTGAAACATCTTCAATAGTTATCCTTTGCCTGTAAGAAAAAAACAAAACAAAACCAAAAAATCTCCTCAATATGGCAAATAAGCTTCAACATGATCTAGCATTTAATTACCTGTGCAGACACAGTGGATCCTTCCTTCTCCTACTTTGTGCTCCAGAAATCCTGAAAACTTACAGTTCTCCCAAAATTCTCGGTTCTCTCATATTGCTGTGTCTTTTACATGGTGTTTTCCCTTCATGGCATAGGTTGCCTGTCCTCTTGCCCTGCCTCACAACCACAGCTCTATCAAGCTGAAATTTCAACTACTCTTCCTTCATATGCTATCAGGAGTCTGTCATGTGGTATCCCCTAGGAAGAGTATGTCTCACTTCCATTGTAGGTTTAGATCCTCCTTCCTCTGCATTCCCATTGCACTCTGTACAAACTTCCATTTTTAGTACATTGTGTGTCTCAGTGTATGCAAATCAACATACAAAAGTAGAATAATGTGAACTGTAGTTATAGGTACAGTTGAAGAATAAAGAAGGGTTTGGACAGGTGAAGAAATCAATTGATGGAGGATACTTAAAGTGGAGGAAACTCAGTGATATGCTGGAGCAAGTTTATACTGACTTATGAGAGGTGATTATTAAATTTTCAAGAATCTTTCAGCCATTATTAAAAATTTAATTACATAAACGTTCAATTAAATTATGTTAAAAACAAAGGCAACAATACTCAAAACTCATCACTTCCTAATTATTCTACTGTATTTTACTGTTATCTGTGTTCTTGAGGTTATTTATCTATATGGTAGAAATACTATATAATAGGGTGCTGTCGTGTATTTTTTCCCAACTTCTTATTCAATTATGTCACATTAATAGCTTGAAATGAGTTATGGTGGGAACATTTATACCATAGGAATCAGCAAACACTACCAATCTGGGTTTGATTTATTGTTTTGCTTATTATTTAGAATTCAGAAAGTGAGGGATAAAATTTAATCATGTAGATTAAACAAACATGTGTTGTTATTGTAGCCATTACATTGTGAATAACACAAAAAATTGAGAGAATATTCCTCTAGTATTTGAAAATTACTATTTAATTCAGGAAAGAGGTTACTTAAGTCAATGATGAATGAGTGAAATCCCAACAGATGTCTTTGTTGTTTTATGAATACTTTCATCTTACTTTTTAGAGTCAACAAAAATATCAAACAACATTCACATGAGAGCTACATTCATTTGTCACTTGCAATCATAGGTTGACTACAGATAAAAGAGTGGCAAAACTTAATGAAAACATTCAATGAGAATCAATTAGATATATGGAATTTACATTTATAAGTATACCATATATGTTATTGTTATTTATAAAATGTGTGCTGTATAGCCTTTATATCAGTAAAGATTATAATAAACTTATATATGTATACAGATGCATATGCTTTTTGTAGAGGTAGCTATTAAACATTTATTACCACAATACTATGTAAAACTGTGCAACTAAAGGCATTTAGCCCCCCATAACAATCTTTTGAGGTAGATACTGTTGTTGCCTTATTTTGCAGAATCAAGAAGTTTGAATTACTTGTCTAAGACTACACAATTAATAGAAAGGTGGAATTTTCACTTAGGTAGTTTGGCTCTAAATCCAGACTATAAACAATGAATAACAGTGAGGATTTTTTAGCAGGAGAAGAATAAATATTATTTATTTTGGACAAATACTTTTTATAACAATACTGAAAATTAACTTTAGGGAGAAGATCTGGAGGAGGAAGGCCATTTTAGAAACTATTATAATCCAATCTTAGAGTTATTCTAATATGGGAATTAAGAGGAAAAATTAATTGCCTAAAAAATTTATTGAAACTTAAATTTAGTGCAACTTAATACAGTTAATAGAATTGGCTGAATGCAGTATTCAACAATGCTTGACACAATGCTTTTGAAAACTGTTACTCAAGAACTCTGTTTAGTAGTTGAAAGATGTGTTTGATATATCAATAGACTACGATGCTTGTGGTTTAAAAAGTACCTATAGTCTTTTATACATACACATAACAGATTTTTCTAGATATAACTATTCTACAACTTCAGATGAGAAAGTCTCTCAAAAGTGTTCTTCAACAGAAGTCTCAATATATCTGGAAACCAAAATTTGACAGATGCAGATAAAAGCAATTCTCTATTTTCAAAAGTTTTGAATGTGAACTTGGAATTGGGAAATGAAGTTCGGGATTATTTTGATGAGGAAAACTTAGAAGTTACTAGCTTTTCAACTGATACTGAGAAGACAAAAATATCAGGTAAAATCATACTTAGCATGGAATCATTTCATTAGAAATTCTTTGAATATTTTTCATTTCAGCTCCTGGAACTAAGTTTCTTTGCCTTTGTTGTGTGTGCTTGTTTAGTTAGATTTGGTTTGTTAAGATTGTAATTTTTAGCAAAACTGAAAATGTGACCCTTCTACACAGAACCTTTCCCCCCTAAGGGAAGAGATGAAGGTTATTCCATGATGATAATGTAGCAAATGAGCACTTTCTATTCTATTGCTCCTATCTCTTGTAAAAGTCAATTCAAATTGTTTATTCAATTTTCTCTCATGAAACAGACTATTTTGTTCTCCATTCTAAGATCACAAATGGTCTGCTAATATTTGTGAAGGACAAAAAAAAATTTATTTTTAAAACTATTCATCTGCTTGCAAAGAAAATAACTTTTATTTCTAGTTGAAATATGAAATTTTCAGCTTGAAGTAAATAAATAAATAAGAAAAAAGGGTTAGTTTATCCTGTACTAGAAATTCTATTTAAATCATATACAACCCCAAAATAATGAGGCTTATTAGCTCTTTGAGTGAAAGGCAAATTTACTCCATTTCACTAAAACAGAGAATTGAAAATCTTGGCAAGTATGTGATAAGATAGCAATGGAGATACTGTCTCCCATTAGGGCTGACAGAAAGAAATCAGTCCCTCAGCCTTCTCAGTGCAGACTGGTATTCCCACAATTATAGATACCTCTTACTATAACCCACCTCATGTTTTTAAAAGAATATTTCAAAGGGAAGCAGTTAGAAGTTGAAATGTTATTGTTTCGGGGGCCTTAGAATTACCTAGAGAACTAATACTGCTTCTGAAAAGAACAGGATTTGACCACCTTCACAGAATGGGCCAGGACAATCTCCATGATGTGGGGTCATTAGGCACAATTTTGTATATCACTGGACAACTACTGTTCCCTACCTCGAGTTTAAATATCATTGGATACTGTAAGTTAATAGGCAATGTGTACTGATCCTTTGAGGTAGCCTAGTCCTAAGAGGGCATAGCTTTGTCACTGGGAAAATCAGTCTCAATAAATGACATTTTCCCTCATGTATAGAGCACTTTAAATGATTATGAACAGACCATTGAAAATACTGAGTGAACTTCAACTTGATCATTTATGTGAATGAAAATGTAAGTATATAAATAATGAGGGTGAGTGGAAAAGCACAAACTGTTTTTCCTCACTCTCACACCATGATCAGCCCAGAAGACATTTGTGACCAAATGTCTGTGGGTTTTTTCCCCACACACCAAGCAAGCAATCAGTTCCACAGTGAATACCAGCTGGGTGTCTTCCAACCCAGTAGAGTTAGAAACAGGGGTCAAAGACCAAATATGTGTTTTACAACAACACAGGTGGCTTGAGGACCTTTCAATATAGTTACTAATAAGCTAACCTGTATGTTTTATAGTTTTACTCCCTTAGCTTTGTGCCCCTAATTTTTCTATGCAAATTAAATTAGGTGATTGAGAATTAATTCATTCCTTCCTTAACCAGATCATATCTGTTGGAGAGAGCATTGTAGAACCTGTGAAAAGCTTCATTCAGCTGTTTCTTGGCATTTTGTTTCAAAATGTTATCTCTTCACATAGGATTTGGAAACACTTTGAGTTCAAGTACCAGGGCAAGTAAGCTACCCCTTCAAGAGTCAAAGAGCAAATTCCAAAGAGAAATGTCAAACAGGCAAGTTTTAGAACTTTGGTTTGTAATACATACAACTTTATATCCTCTTGACGCATAGTTGGAGATGGAGATCAAGGTATTAGATGTCAGAGATGCTAAAAGGTATTAGCCAACCTAAACCCTCTTAATCTTAGAGGTGTGTTTCTCAAAGTTCTGTTGTTAAACCACCTGCATCAAAATCACTTTGTGGTGCATATTAAAAATGCACATTCTTGAGCCCCACATTAGACCTACTGAATTTTTGTCTCTGGGACTGGAGCCCAGGAACCTTCACTTTTAACAAGACTTAACTGAATAGGAGTTTGACAACTAGAACAGAGGTGGATAGGCATTCCAGGTATAAGAAAGCATCTGTAAAGGGATAAGGCTTGAAAAGGCATCCCATGCTCAAAGATCAGTAAAGTGTGGGATGTGTGGTCACAGCATAATCTCTGTTGCTGAGGTCTTATTGTAAGGGCTTTTGAGTGCTGTGCTTAGACACCTGTCCTGTACCCAGACAGTCAGGGGTCGCAAACCCAAATACCTTCAAGATTTGGTGGGCCAAGGCCAACTGCAGAGTGTCCCATCTAAAGGAAGCAGCCACTACTCAGCTCCAAACAGTTGTTACTATGCAGGCAATGTGAGTCTAGTGTTACAAAATATTCTGATTTTTCAAGAAAAGCTAGGAATCTGAAATTTTATGTGATATCTTATTTTTTTAAATTTTGACAACTGATTCAAAAAAATGTGATGTACTCTATGGCACCCTCCTCCAAATAATAATATCTGTAGGCCAGATGTGTCCTAGGGCCCTCTAGTTTTTACCTGTATGGTAGGCAGTGAGGAACCATCCAAAATATTTAAGCACAGGAAAAACAATTTGATTTAAAAAATCATCCTAGCAGCAGTATGCAGAGTGAATCATAGGGAGTGGGACTGCCAGAGGCATGGTGGCCAATGAGAAAGACAGACTATAATGAGGCCTAAACTAGGGCAGAAATGATAGGAACAGAGAGGTAGGGTTGGATTTTTAAAACATTTCAGAAATAGAGCAGATTCAATGTGGCAATTGATAGGATGTGATAGTTGAGGAAGAGGGAAGAATAATGGCACCTAGGTAGGTATTATTTAAGGATATAGGAAACAAGAGATTTAGAATGGAAAACATAATTTTATAAATGTTCAATTTGAAGTATCTTTACAAAAAATGCAAAATGCATTGGGAAATACTGGACTTGATTAGAAGTCAAGGGAGAGAAATTATGGCCAAAGCCAAAATTTTCAAAACAGAAGAAATACCAACAGCTTTTTATTCAGGGTCTGATTTTCTACTTAAGGATTATTTATTTCTCTGCTTTAAAAAAATACTAAGTTTGTGGCATCCCTTGGAATTTTTGCTGTTATTTAGCCATTACTGATCATTAGCATCAGCATCATAGACTCATAGTTTTCATAGAATTCCAGAGCTAAGTGGGGGTCTTAAGTATTGTTTAGTCTCCCTCTCACTGGATCCTTGAATCACATTCAACATCACTGGCAAGTAGTCGTGCCACCTCTACCAAGACAGTTCCAGTGACCAGGAGCTCATCCACCCTTGTTCCATGTTAGGATTCTTAGATCATGGAATAGCTTTTCAAAACATTTGCTTAAAATATGTCTTTTTATCACTTTGTTTCATTGGTTATAACTCTGAGTCACATAGAATAAACAGATATAAGCATCCAAGTGAGACAAAGTTGTAGGTGTAGAGAAGCAAAAAGTAAATAAATCATAAGAAGGAAGGTAACAAGGCACATGAACAGTTTTGTGCACCACACCTTTAAAAAACAACAAATAATTTTGGAAGAGTTTAGAAGTGACCAACAGAAGATGTGTGGGTTTAAAAATGGATTCTAACAAGAAGCCTCTGAGAACCTGGTGTAGAAGTTGCTGCTGGGGAAAAGGCCTGTGGGACCTGAGGATTTGGGATGGAAAGGAGATTTGCTTTTTTATTTTTTTAAGTTAGAGTACAGTGGCATAATTATAGCTCACTGCAGCCTCAACCTCTTGGGCTGAAGATCCTCCCACCTCAGCCTCTCAAGTAGCTGGGACTACAGGTACATACACACCACTATGCCTGACTAATTAAAAAAAAATTTTTTTTTCTAGAGACGGAGGTCTTGCTATGTTTACTAAGCTGGTCTCAAACTCCTGGACTTGCACCTCAACCTCCCAAAATGCTGGGATTACAGGTGTGAGCCACTGTGCTTGGCCTGCTTTTTCTTTTATACACTTTTTACTTTTTTATTCCTTGCCATGTATATATATTTATTAGTCAGAGACAAAATGATCCAATCCTATCAGTATATGTGGTTCTTCCCTGTCCCCACCCACACTGCTCATTGCTCCTTACATGGCTATTACATTTTAGCCTTCAGGTGTCAACTTAAATGGTTACCTCATCAGAGAGGCATTGATGATCATCTTTTAAAAATGGGTTTATGGCTCCACACCATTATTTCTTATGCTGTTGCCCAGTTCATTTTCTTTTTATAATTATAGAATCTATAATTATGTATATATTTGCTTTTATTCATTGTCTGCTTCATGGTAACTCCCTGACATTTTATTACTTCATACTCAGCTTCTAGTATAATATCTGGCATAGGGTAATGAAGAATAAATGTGTTTTAGTGAACGAGTTAATACAGAAGGTTCAGAGTAAATTCTTGCATACAGTTATATCTAAGAAGATAACTGGAGATGTCTACAGTGAGACCAGAATAGAGAAAGGAGATTAAAAGTTAAGCAAGTGGAATTTAGAAAATGTTTATAGGGTTCTATGTAATAGACAATTAAGCATTAGACTCAATTTTAAAGAAAATTGTTGAATAATTATTTCTATAGTCCCTTAAAAATAGTATTTTTTCCTAATTTGGGATATATAAATTATGGTTTGATCTAAAGGAAAGGAAATATACCAAGTTCTCCATTAGTATTTTGTGATAAATGTGATAAACTTTGATCATATTCCCCAAAAATCATTATGATCCAAATTAGAATGGTTTGTTTTTCTTGACATATTTTACAAATAATTAATTTTAATTTTTAATTTTGTTTCATCACATGAGATGTCAGATACTTCTTTATCAAATTCTGCTACGCCCAGGTTCAGTGCATCCTCCATGACAAAATTACCTCAACAAGCCGGAAATGCAGTTCTAGTAAGAAGAAGCACTTCTTTGTTTTTCTTTTAAATTTGCCCAAGTGCTTAAACTTTCAATGATTGTTATTTTTTATCTCAAATGTAGGACCATTTTCAAGAAAGAAAACTACAAAATCTGTCACCAGAGATTGAGAAGCTATGCTTTACTTGCTCTGAAAAAAAAAAAAAAAAAAAATTCTTCAAATTATAAAAAGGTGGATTTTTTTATTAGAAACAGTGAATGTAAAAAGGAAGTTGATTTCAGGTAAGAACTCTTTAAAGACACTTTAAGATTGTGTCAATAAAAAACTTTTTACAAAGAAATTCGGCATTCCTTTTTCCTTGGTTCATTTTAAAGATTAGAGCCTGAATATTTTATTTATTAAAGACATTAAAATTTTCAAGCCTCAGTGAGCTAAGCTCCTTAAGATGTTTCAAACATCATATACCTCAGTTCTTAAAAACCCATATATTTAATGCTGTTTATTCAAACATTATATTGACTTGATAAACTTACTTCTACTGATTTGAATACAGTATGTTAATTTTGTAAAGTGTAAAGTCATTGAAATCTAGATGAGATCAGCTAATTTTTCAAAACTTGAAGTTGTATTTTAGTTAACCAGTTATTTCACAATCAACAGGTTCAATGAAAATGTCAGATTAAATCTCATTGGTTGCCCCACTGCTGGCCATTTTAGAAAAGGAAACTGTGTTGCAGTTTCTGTCTCCTTGAAGAGTCAAAAGATTTGAGACCTGTTCACAGTGTTTTGTTTTTATTTGTTTAAGACTAGTCAAGTGAAGCAGTGGGAGTGCAGAAGAAACAAAGAAATTTGTAACTAGTTGTGATCAATTAGTTGTAAACACCACTTCCCTTGGACCAGGCTGTTCACATATTTATTAAATGACATAACTTTTCAATATGTTTAAAGAAATAACTTTACAGTTCCTACCATTTGCAGTTTATGAAGTCTAATTTTCCCCAACAGACTTCCTACAGAGTTATGCATACTGAAGTTTATTTGATACATTACTTCACAGAAATCTTCATTTATTTTATTGTATTATTTATTGTGTATTTTAAAATAAATTGTGTTAAAAAATAGTTATTTTTACTTTTTCTTCTTTCTCCCAATATGTATCATCCTGATGATGAAGCTGATGAAATGAAGTCTTTATTGGGAATATTTGATGGTATTTTCTAAAACAAACAAATACTTTTTATATTAATAAGAGAAAGAATAAAGACACCTAATCACAAAACACGCTTTTTATTTTTAAAAGGTAGTTCATAATTATTCAGAGTTTTTTCTCCTGAATTTGATTAGCTTTGTTCACCTTTTGCAACAAAATATATGGACCGATTTATTTTCCTATTATATTGTAAATTCTTGAAAAGCTCTTTTACAGTGGCTTTGTTTCAGTAAGCCCTTCAGTTAAGGGCTTATTGCACTTAGAAATAAGTTGCACTTAGAAATAATTATTTGGTTATTAATTGGATTTTGACAAGAACCAATGTAAAATTTTATTTTTATGTTTTCTTAAGAAGAAAAATATTCTATGAAAGCAAAATAATGCTAACTTAATGAATCTGCTTACTGTATGGATTAATCACTAATATTATTCCCATGTATTTTGTTTTACTAAAGATTTTTAAGAATCCAAGGCTATTTGAACCTACTGTTGTCTAACTTTGAGCAACAGTAAATGAAATATTAATCAGTATAGATTGTTGTTTTCATTTAGCTTGTTTTTCAATGTCATGAATTCTAAAACTTTGTTATGTTGACTTTTACTGTAGTAAAAAGATTTTATATTTTTTCCAATGAATTACATTTCAAATTCATTTATTGATAAGTATTATATAGGTACCCTAAGCAATGTTTATTATCAAAATTTTAATAGGTACCATGAGAAGTTGAAGCCCACTTAAGAATTTTTAGAAAATATTTTTTTCTTTTTTAAAAAACTTATTTTAGATTCAGTGTTATCTGTGCAGGAGTGTTACATAGATAAACTCGTATCATGGGGATTTGTTGTACAGATTATTTCATGACCCAGGTACTAGGCCTAGTACCCAATAGTTATTTTTCCTGATCCTCTCCCTCCTTCCACTGTCCACCCTCAGGTAGGCCCCAGTGTCTGTTGATCCCTTCTTTGTGTCCATGAGTTCTCATCATTTAGCTTCTACTTATAAGTGAGAACATGCTATATTTGGTTTTCTGTTCCTTTGTTAGTTTACTAAGGCTTCCAGCTCCATCCATGTTCCTGCAAAAGACATGATCTTATTCTTTATTATGGCCGTATATGTAAAACATTTTCTTTATCCAGTCTACCATTGATGAGCATTTAGGTGGATTCCATGTCTTTGTTATTGTGAATAGTGCTGTGATGACCGTAAGTGTGCATGTGTCTTTATGGTAGAATGATTTTTATTCCTTTGGCTATATACCCTATGATGGGGTTGCTGAGTCAAATGGTGGTTCTGTTTTTAGCTCTTTGAGGAATCACCACACTGCTTTCCACAATATTTGAACTAATTTACACCCCCACTAACAGTGTGTGTGTTCCCTTTTCTCTGCAACCTTGCGGCATCTATTATGTTTTAACTTTTTAATAACAGCCATTCTGACTGGTGTGAGATGATATCTCATTGTAGTTTTGATTGCCATTTCTCTAATGATCAGTGATATTGAGCTTTTTTATATATATATGCTTGTTGGCCTCATATATGTCTCCTTTTGAAACATGTTTGTTCATGTCCTTTGCCCACATTTTAATGAGGTTTTTTTTTTTTTTCTTTGTAAATCTAAGTTCCTTAAGATGCTGGATATTAGACCTTTGTACAGATGCATAGTTTGCAATTTTTCCCATTCTGTAGGTTATTTCTTTACTCTGTTGATAATTTCTTTTGCTGTGCAGAAGTTCTTAAGTTTAATTAGATCCCATTTGTCAGTTTTTCCTTTTGTTGACATTGCTTTTGGCATCATTGTCATGAAACCTTTGCCCATTCCTATATTCCAAATGGTATTGCCTAGGTTGTGTTCCAGGGTTTTTATATTTTTGCATTTTACATTTAAGTCTTTAATCCATCTTGAATTGGTTTTTGTATATGGTGTATGAAAAGGGTCCAGTTCAGTCTTCCGCATACAGCTTACCAGTTATCCTAGCACCACTTATTGAATAGGAAGGGAGTCCTTTCCCCATTGTTTGTTTTTGACAGCTTTGTCAAAGATCAGATGGTTGTAGGTGTGCAGCCTTATTTCTGGGCTCTGTGTTCTGTTCCATTGGTCTATGTGTCTGTTTTTGTACCAATACCATGCTGTTTTGGTTGTTGTTGCCCTGAGTACAGTTTGAAGTTGGGTAATGTGAGACTTCCAGCTTTGTTCTTTTTGCTTAGGATTGCCTTGGCTATTTGGGCTCTTTTTTGGTTCCGTATGAATTTTAAAATAGTTTTTCTAGTTCTGTGAAGAATGTCATTCATAGTTTGATAGGAGTAGCATTTAATGTATAAATTGCTTTGGGCAGTATGGCCATTTTAATGATGTTCATTATTCTTATCCATGAGGATGGAATATTTTCCCCTTTATTTGTGTCATTTCTGATTTCTGTGAGTAGTGTTTTGTAATTCTTTTTGTAGATCTCTTCAACCTACTTGGTTAGCTGTATTCCTAGGTATTTTATTCTTTTTGTAGCAATTGTGAATGGGATTGTGTTCCTGATTTGGCCCTTGGCTTGGCTGTTGTTGGTGTATAAAAATGCTAGTTATTTGTGTAGATTGATTTTGTATCCTGAAACTTTGCTGAAGTTGTTTATCAGCTGAAGGGGCTTTTGGGCCAAGACTATGGGGTTTTCTAGATATAGGATCAGGTCATCTGCAAACAAGGATAGTTTGTCTTTCTCTCTTCCTACTTGGATGCCCTTTATTTCTTTCTCCTGCCTGATTGCTCTGACCAGGACTTCCAATACTATGTTGAACAGGAGTAGTGAGAGAGGGCATCCTCGTCTTGTACGGGTTTTCAAAGGGAACATTTCCAGCTTTTCCCCATTCATTGATGTTGGCTGTGGGTCTGTCATAGATGGCTCTTATTATTTTGAGGTATATTCCTTCAGTGCCTAGTTTATTGAGAGTTTTTTTTTTTTTAACATGAATGAATGTTGAATTTTATCAAGAGCCTTTTCTTCATCTATTTAGAAAATTATGTGGTTTTTGTCCTTAGTTCTGTTTATGTGATGAATCACATTTATTGATTTGCATATATTGAACCAGCCTTCCATCCAGGGAGGAAGCCTACTTGATCATAGTGTATTAACTTTTTGATGTGCTGCTGGATTTGGCTTGCAAGTATTTTGTTGAGGGTTTTTGCATCAATGTTCATCAAAGATATTGGCCTGAAGTTTCCTTTTTTGTTGTCTCTTCCAGGTTTTGGAATCAGGATGATATGGGCCTCATAGAATGAGTTGATGGGGAGTCCCTCTTCCTTGATTTTTTGGAATAGTTTCAGTAGGAATGATATCTGCTCTTCTTTGTACATCTGGTAGAATTTGTCTGTGTGGTCCTGGTTTTTTTTTTTTTTTTTTTTTTTTTTTTGGATGGTAGGCTTTTTTTTCTTTTTTTCTTTTCTTTTTTTTTTTTTTTGAGACAGAGTCTTGCTCTTGTTGCCCAGGCTGGAGTGCAGTGGCGCGGTCTCAGCTCACTACAGGTGCGCGCCACCACGCCCAGCTAATTCTTGTATTTTTAGTAGAGACGCGGTTTCACCATGTTGGCCAGGATGGTCTCAATCTCTTGACCTTGTGATCTGCCTGCCTCGGCCTCCCAAAGTATCTGGATTATAGGCATGAGCCACTGTGCCCGGCTGCTTGGCAGGCTTTTTATTATTGACTCAATTTTGGAGTTCATTACTGGTCTGCTCAGGGAATCAATTTCTTCCTCATTCAGTCTTGAGAGGGCGTATGTGTCCAGGAATTTATCCATCTCTTCAAGGTTTTCTAGTTTGTGTGCATAGAGATGTTCATAGTAGTTTCTGATGCTTACTTTTTTATTTTTTTATTTTTTTGAGATGGAGTCTCACTCTGTTGCCCAGGCTGGAGTGCAGTGGCAATTTCAGCTCACTGCAAGCTCCGCCTCCCAAATTCATGCCATTCTCCTGCCTCAGCTTCCTGAGTAGCTGGGACTATAGACACCTGCACACACCCAGCTAATTTTTTGTATTTTTAGTAGAGACAGGGGTTCACTGTGTTAACCAGGGTGATCTCAATCTCCT